GCCACTGCCACTGCCACTTTCACGGGACTTAGAACTTTGGAGTTTTGTGCTGTGATTGGAGGAAGGACCTGGGGCCCCTAGGGGCAGCAGCCAATCATGGCCCCTTTTGTAGCCAGGCTGTTCTATGGGCAATGAGCAGAAATGCAGGAACCACCATCAACCTGACCCCCCCCCCACCTTGTTTAAAAAAATCCCGGAAAATAGGCAAAGGTCGGGGTGCCCAAGAGGGCAGGATGGTGAAGCCCGAAGGCAGAGCCCCTGCCTCTCTCCCCAACTCTCCTCTGGGCAGCAGACACTGCCCAACACCGCCCCCCCCCCCATCTCCAGCTCCCTCCTGGGCGCCTTGGGCCCTTGATTCCCATGATTTCCTGCATCCCAGCCATTTCCCCGGGGCTGCTGACCCTTGGTACCATCCCTGCACAGATCCGTGGGTAGGAGAGCCCTGGGCAGTCACTCAGGCTCCCTCTGAGTAGTTACGGGCCACCGCAGAGAGGTATCTACTGACCGCCCCTCCGGCTGCCCCTGGGGTTTGCCTGGGCCCCCAGCAGGGACGGGGAGGGTGGCCCCCAGGGAGCTGGAGGACTCTGGCCAGGCAGGAGGATTCTTTACTGTGGCAGGAGACAAAAACCAATTCTGGATGGGAACTGGGGAGGCGGGGGAAGGGGGGGCGCGGTTCACGGGTGGGGTAGGGGCCCTGAGTAGAAGTCCTGCTGTCACTAAGGGTGAGCAGCAGCAGGTTCTGAAGTGATCCTTGAGAAAGTGCAGGACTGAGGAACGTGGGGGATGAGGCTGCCAGCCTGGGTGGGGGCGGGGCGCCTGGGGCAGAAGGGCTTGCTGGGCGACTCTTGCCTAGAACAAGAAGGTGAATGATCCGAGGAGGCACACTCCGGTTCTACGAGCCTTACCGGGCACCGACCACTGCCAGTGGGAGGGTGGCTGGCCCGGTCTCTCCGGCCAGACTTCGAGACGGGAACGCGCTGACCTCTCCGGAGAACCCGGGAGCCTGGGCAGGCACAAGGCGTCGCGGCCCCCGCAGTGGAGAACCAGCCCAGCCCAACCGCGCGGGGTGGGGAGGTTGGAAGTGGGAGCCAAGCCTCGGCGGGGCCCTGGTGGCCGCAAGTCGCCCCTAGATAGTGAGGACTTGGCGGGCGCGATCGCACCTCCTTCCGCCGAGGCCGGGTGCACTCGGCCCAGCTTTCCCGGCGCGCTCCGAAGAGGCGACCCCCGGAGGACGTGGGGGTGGGGATCGGGACGCGCAGCGCCGCCGCGGAGCCAGACCAAGTTTGGCACCCGCGCGGGGCCTAGGGCGCTGGCGCGGGGCCGCCCGCCCTCTCCTGCTCCCTGCGACCCGCCTGTGGCCCCCGAGGAGCCCCTGGGCCGCCAGCCCGAGCTCCGAACAGCCTGGGCCCGGGGGGCAGAGGAGGGGCCTCTGGGCTGTGGCCGTGACCCTCCCGGCGCATGGCGGGGAAGCCCCAGCCCCACGTCTGTGTGTGTTGCTTTGTTAGTTGTTTTTTCTCCTATGTGTGGGTTTTTTCTTGGAGCTGTTTCATAGGAATTCCTGTAATAAAGACTTGGTGTTCTCTTGGTGCTCTGATGTGGCCGGCAGTGTGGGCTGGACCCTTCCTCCTCTCTTCTTGTCCTGGTCAGGGTTTGGCTCCTGGAGCCCCCCTTGCCCCCGAGGGTCACCTGCCTCAGTTAACCCTCAGCGTCTGTAAGGCCCCCGAGGGCTCCGCTTTCTCCGCAGCGCACTCGCGAGAAGAGACCTGCCGCCCGCAGGGCAACCTCGCCCACCTGCTGCTTTGCTCTGCTCAGTTGCCTTCCTGTTTGCCCTGGGGAAAATCCCTAGCTCCACGGCAAAGGAAAACTCCAAGGCAAAAGCCAGTGTGTGGCGAAAGCTTACCCAGATATCCAGAAAGCTTCAGGAGTGACGCTGACGGGAGGCTGCAGGGAGGTGCAAAGGCCCGTAGAGATCTTCCCATTCAAGGACCTCTAGCTTTCTTTCCCTTACTCCCCAGCAGTGTAGGACTACTGCCCATGCCAGGGAACTCCCAGCCCAAACAGGAAGCTGGTGCCCTTTGCAGACAGGGCAGTTCTGAAGGTTAAAAGGTTCTTTGTTGTGTTGAGCCCATAGGCCTCCTTGTGGCTTTCACTCACATTTTATTCTGGGCTCTCAGTCACCCAGGCCAAGGCCACCGCTCTAACCCCTGCTGCCACATTTGAGCTCAGTCTGGAGGAACAATGCAGGTTCTCCCTGCCCTCCTATAAACAGGTTCTCCTTCACCCCCAGTTAGACCAAGGTAAGACAGCGGGTGATGTTCTCCATACATACTGTTTGGATGTGGGCAAACAAAGCTGATCCTCTAACCCTGGCTCTGTGCATCAAAAAAAACAAAAACAAAACATATATATATATATATATATACACACTGTATATTATAATATATATGTAACATAATATATATTATATATATTTAATGTTTATTTTTGAGAGAGAGAGAGTGCGAGCAGGGGAGGGGCAGAGAGAGAGGGAGACACAGAATCTGAAGCAGGCTCCAGGCTCCGAGCTGTCAGTGCAGAGCCCAATGTGGGGCTCAAACCCACGAACAGCGAGATCATGACCTGAGCCACCCAGGCACCCCTAAAAAAATATTTTTATGTAATCTCTACACCCAGCATGGGGCTTGAACTTACAACCCCAAGATCAGGAGCATGCTCTACTGACCGAGCCAGCCGGGTGCCCCAGTGTTGTGCATTTTTTACTGATAGGTGTGTAACCCTCAGGTGTGTAACCTGGGACCTTGTTAGAAATGCCAATTCTCAGCCCTACCCTAGACATACTGAATCAGAGACTCAGGGAGTGCAGCCCAGCAATCTGAGTCTTGTGTTTGGGAACCACAGTGCCAGGCCCCTACCTACTACTGGCTGCACAGAATTACCTGAGTAGCTTAAAAAAAAAAAAAAAAAATCCTGATGCTCAGTACCCCAGATCAATTAAATCAACAGCCATGGGGTGATTTATTTTACAGCTCCTCATGTAATTCAAATTTGCAATCAAGTTTGAGGACAAGCACACTGGGCAGTCTGGTAGTGTTTCATATTAGCTCAATTAATCTGACCCAATAATGGCCACTTTACGGATGATGAAATGACAATTCAGAAAGTAACTTTGCAAGGTTGCAGAGGTAGCAAGGTGTGAAGCCAGAAACACGGTCCAGGGGTGCCTGACTCCAAATGCTGTTCAAGGTGTGCTGTGTGGACCCGCAGCATCAGCATCACAGAGCACATTAGAAATGCATGTTATGGGGCCCTACTCCAGATCTACTGAATCTCAAACTGGGAGTATTTTAACAAGCCCTCCAGATGATTCTGATACATGCCAAGTTTGAGAAGCACAGTTCCACAACTTGCTACTCAAAATTTGGTCTATGGACCGGCACCATCTGTATCACCTGGAGCTTGATAGAAACACACAATTTCAGGGTCTACCCTAGACCTACTGGACTAGAATGTCCACTTTAATATATATATATGTTTTGTTTTGTTTTTTTTTGTTTTTTTTTTGAGAAAGAGAGCAGGGGAGAGGGGGAGAGGGAGAGAGAATCTGAAGTAGGCTCCATGCTGAGCATGGGGACTGATGTGGGGCTCGATCCCACAATCCTGGGATTATGAGCTGAGCTGAAATCAAGAGTTGGATGCTTAACCGACTGAGCCACCCAGGTGCCCCTAGAATGTCCATTTTAATAAACTCTTCAGGTGACTTGAATGCACATTGAAGCTGAGAAACACTACTCTAGAACACCGGTTCTCAAACTTGCTATATACATTGGAATTCTTTTTTTTTTTTTTTTTCAAGTTTTTAAATTTTTTTTAGTAATCCCTACACCCAACGTGGGGCTCAAACCCACGACCCTGAGGTCAAGAGTTGCACATTTCTCCATTGCTCTTCCCAGCCAGGCACCATATACTGGAATTATTGCTGCAACTTGGGTCCCATTCCCAAAGATTCTGATTTCATTGGTTTGGGATTTAGCCTGGGAATCAGAGTGTAAAAGTGCCTCAGGTGATTCTAATATGCAGCAAAGTTTGAGAACCATCCACTCTTTTGCCTTTTAGTTAACTGACTGAAGGTAATTGTATCCAGAGAGGGGATGTGGGGAGAGAAGGCAAAGAAAGCGTTCCAGATACAACTGGAAAATGGAGATGCACAGAAGATGAAGCCTCTGCTCCGTGATGAGTCCCTCTGGGCCAAACAGTGTTTACAGGACCTAGGAGGGAGTCAGGCTGGGCCAGGCAACCCCCTTATCCATCTGCCCTCACATGCCAGGCTCATCTACAAATGTTGGGCTCCTGGTATCCACAAAGTGATCCTTGGAGAGTGACCTGCTAAAGTGCTGAGCTGGGCTGTCTGGAGTCTGGTCCAGCTCGTGCCTCTCCTCTTTGCTTCAGTGTCCCCAGGGCTCAGCCCCAACTTGAGAGATCATGGGTCTGAAGAATGCTGTGCCCAGAAGAACTGGACTGCTTATTACCATCCTGGAGTCTCAACCCTTCTTCTGTTCACTTGAGGCACCTGGTAGGGCCCTGAGATTGGAAGAAAGACAGGAGGACAATTTGGTTTGAAGAAGGCAGAAGACAGGCAAGATACAGGATGATGAAGATGATGGCTGCTTATTGAGTGCTTACTGTATGCAACTTTTCTGGGGAGCTTTACGTACATTATTTTACATGATCCCCACAACTATTATATGAAATCAGTATTATTATTTGTATTTCACAGATCAGGAAACTGAGGCACACATGCCCCTCGGTAAGTGGTAGTACTTACTACCCCGGCAGCCAAACTCCAAAGTTGTTACCTAAACACTAAGCTATACACTGGGGCGGGGGAAGAGGTGGTAAGAACTAGAACCTCGCCATAGACAGGATCTGCCGAACACAGAAAGTTCTACCTGCTTAAAAACATCTCCATAGTGTGATGTCTGATCCAACAGTGTGCTCGGACGTCACCTATTAGCATTCTTTATTTGGTTTTAAAAATGATCTTAGCATTCCCATTAAATGGAAAATAGGCTATTTAGAGAGAAGCACATGAACTCCTTTGCCCATTATCAGAGCATAGATTAATTTGTTGGATTAGCTGGCTAGGCCAGCTGGAGGAAGATTTAGAAATTTCTGGAGATGGGGGGGAGCGGGTAGGGAGCAGGGCGGGTGGTTGAAACGGGGCTGTGTAAATCTACTGCCACCTGGTGGTCATCTCACAGAACCGGCCATTGAGAGACCAACACCGTTTTCCCAGAAGGAAGTGAGCACCTGTTTGGCCAGAGGCCAGAGACAGAAGGGAATTTACCCTATTTGCATGGTTATATGTTTTGCAAATTTTATAAAACAAAGATATTTTTGTACTTTTTTTCTTAAAAGAGCCACTAAGATTATATAAGCCTTAGGCCCTACAGAGCCAGCATCTACCCTGTCATTTCTAGAGATTAAAGAGTCACAATTCTTTATCAGGTCAAGAGGATTATTCAGGGGACTCTGAAGTGAAGGGCTGTAAAGCTCAGTACAAACTCAGCTGGCTATGTCCCTGCTACTCGAAGTGTGGTTCTGTGGATCCAGTGACCAACTGTCCTGGTTTTCCAGGTCTGCGTGTTCCTCGGATGCGGAAATCTCAGTGCTAAAACTGGGAAAGTTCTGGGCAAACTTAGGCCAGTTGGCTACCCTGCCTGCAGGTTAGCAGCGCTGGCATCGGCTTGGAAGAAGACTGTTAGAAATTCAGAGTTTCCGTCCTCACGCCAGACCGCTCGAGTCAGAATCTGAATTTCCCAAGATCCGGGAGGTTCCAGAGCATATTAAAGATAGATTTGCTCTGCCTTCCACAAGAAGAGGGGGGCCCACACCAGCCTGCAACATCTGCCTGCAAGGGGCTCATCCTCTGCTGGGAAAGCTCCAGAGTGATTCCAATTGGCCTTTAATTCTAATAATAAAAGGCCAGATTGTTGCTTCAGGCCCAGCTGGCTCCTGTTTCCTTGGCTACAAAAGGAGCCACAGTGATACAGGGCTGGTAGCGGCATAAAGTGCTTTTCTTTCCTCTGCTTGAACTAGATTCTTGTTGGGGGTAAGACTGTTTGCTGAAGAAATGAACAGGCAGCTGTGTGAACATGCCTTGCAAATTGTTAGGTGTGATTTAATTGTAGGTGTGATTTAATAAATTGTGATTTGTTGCTCTTAAACGTGCAGTGGTCAGAAAACGTTATTATCATCACTCTTATTTATTGAGCCTGTACACTAGGCACTGTTTTAAGCACTCGGCAGATATTAACCCACTGACTCCTCGTAAGAAGGCTATAGGGTGGGTGATCCGATTATGCCCATATCACAGGTAACGGAGCTGAGGCCCCGAGGTTTGTAAACTGGATCTACCTGTCAGTGGGCCACAGAGGATAGCCAGGACTAGAAATGACCAGGTTCTTGGAGGAGTGGAGGGTTATCCCCATCCAGCCACAGCTTTTGCCCGCATACCCATAGCGTGTCTGAGGAAGGCCTCCAGAAAGGAGGGCCGGGGTGGCTCCCTCATTTGGCCTAACTTGGCCTGATTCAGCCATGCTGTTGATGACAAAACTTTCTGAGAGCCACCTCCGAGCCAAGCAGCAGCCTGGGCGTGGGGAGGCAGAGATAAGAGAGCCAGTTCCTGCCCTCAGAGAGGCCCAGTTAGACAGACTCAGACCAGTGAACACAGTTACAACACCACATTCCGGGAGGGAAAAGCTTAGGGAGCGAGGGAGCAGAGTCTGGCAGAGTGTGCGCTGCGGGCCGAGGTGCCCTCCTGGCTGACCCTCGAAAGGAAGCGGAGGCGTGGGCCTCCGAGGAGGCGTGGGCCTCCAACCCACGCGTGCCAGGAGAGACAGCACACAACAGCCTGGAGGCGGGAGGCGACGCTCCGGCCTCCTCTTTGTGCATCTCCCCCGCTGCTGCTCCTCCCCCTGGTCCCTGTACTGTGTATTGAATGTATACTATTGTTTTCCTCCTCTTCTGAGGCGAGCAGCTAATTTCTCCCTGATCCTGGCTCTCTGCCAAAGATGGGTAACGGTATTCATGATTTCATCAATACGCTGGGATTTTCACTCACCAAGGCCGTTCTGCCATCGGGGATGCTTCTCCACTTTTTGTCTGACAAATTCCCAGGCACTGCTTAAATAAGGGTGCTATTTATAAAGACGTGGGCAGAGCGTAGGGAAGCCACAAAGGACGGCCTAGAACCTATGGCTAGTAACAGAGGGGCACAGTTTGCTGAGTCTCGGCCTTCAGGGGCAAGGGAGGGAACAGTGACTGGAACCCGGTGAGAGCTCTGTGTGAACAGGTTGCCCTGTAGAGCTGTGACTTTATGTTCCTGGACTGTACGTGGAGGGAGCCAGGGGAATAGAGACTACCTTCACTCTCCTCGTTCCTTCCATTCCCCTGCCAATGCCTCCCACTGGTGGTACCTCCTGGAACCCAACTGGAAGGAGAGGGCCGTGGTTTCGGTTCCTAGAAGTCAGCCTCCCGGGGAACAGAGCAGGGTGAAGGAGAGCACAGAGTGCGTGTGCATCTGGCAGGGCACATGGATGCTGTTCAGCCAAGTACTTATCAGTCAGTGTCATGGGGCTGAACAATGTCCCTTCAAAATTCGTATGTTGAAGTCCTAACCCCCAGTAGCTCGGGATGTGACTGTGTTTAGAGATAGTCTTTAAAGAAGTATTGAAGCTAAAATGCAGCCATTAGGTTGGGCTCAGGTCCAATATGACTGGTGTCATAAGAGCACACAGGCACATACAAAGGGAACACCATGCGAGGACACAGGGAGAAGGTGGCCGTCTGCAAACCAAGGAGAGAGGCCTCAGGAGAAACCCACCCTGGCAAGTTGATCTCGGGCTTCTAGCATCCAGAATAGTGCGAAAGTATCTTTCTGTGGCCTAAGCCACCCAGCCTGTGGTACTTTGTTGTGACTGCCCTAGCAAACTGATATAATCCACATGCTATTCAACACAGAAGTTCTCAGTTATGAATTTGCCAGTCTCCCCCACTGGATAGTCAGCTTGTCCAGGACTCGGCACAGGGCCAGGCAGGTGCTTAAGCGCTTGTGAGCTGAACGGGATCATTTAACAAGAAAATGAAACAATAAGGCAATTTATGAAATATCATCAAAATGCTGCCGTCCCAGGTGGCAATCAGGACACAAGAGCAACAGTGATGCTGTAACTGCCATCAGACTTGTTACTTACCAGCTCCCGTTTGGTCTTTGCAGAATGGTGGCTTCTACTCTTGCAGCGAGCTACGCAGGTAGTTGATACTATTTAGTGGGCACATCTACCGGCGTCGAGCAGGGTAGCGGAAGGAATACGGCCTTTTGGAGAGTTGACAAGTTCTATTTCCTTCTGTGTGAGATTTGTCAGGACGTTACCTATGGCATCAGGTGGCTGAACATTTGAATAGGACAAATCCAGATTGCTGCTGCAGTGCAAGGCATGAGTGCATCAGTCCCTTGCAGCCTTGAGAGGTCCTGGTGAGAAGACAGAGGCCTCTAATGTCCAGTTTGCCTGCCCCCAGCTGCCCCACAGCTTCCTCCTTTTCACGAATGAGTACTCCCTTGGGCACACACTTCCTGTTGCAGGGTCAGAGGGTTCCCAATTCATCCTGCTGTCACATCCCCAAGGTCTTCCTATCTACCCACCAACATTCCACTCTCTCAGTCACAGAGGCATTAAATAGGATGCTGAAGGGGAAACTGCAAAGTTTATTAATTTATTTTGAGAGAGAGTGTGTGCGTGTGCACAAGTGGGAGGAACAGAGAGACAGAGAGAGAGAGAGGGAGAGATTCCCAAGCAGGTTCAGAGCTGTCAGCGCAGAGCCTGACGGACTCAGGGCTTGATCCCACGAACCATGAGATCATCACCTGAGCCAAAATCAAGAGTCAGAAGCCCAACCCACTGCGCCACCCAGATGCCTCAAGGAGGGGAAACCTGAAGGGCTCAGAAGAGGAAGTAACTTCCCTAAGAAGATCTAGAGGAGAAATTCCAACCTTGCAAATCCTCCCCCACTGAGGGTTTGGGTCCTTGGCTCTCCTCCCTGAATAAATTCTGCTAATTCTTTACCAGTGGTAACTGCAGTGGCCTAGGAGAGCAGGCCTGAGTGGGAGAAGGGAAGTGTGTCTGTGGTCTGGGCTGGCAGCTAGCGGGGACTTGGACAGAATTAGAAACTCGTTATGAGGCCTGGGAAGACTATATTTAGTTGGGAGTATGTTTGCTCGACCTAGAGCAAAGCCTTCCAGACCTTCCTAAGACTGGGAGACTGGAGTCTCTACACCTGGCCCAGCAGCCAGCACTGTGCTCTCTCTTCCCTGTGTCACAGGGCCCTGCAGCAGCCATGAAACCCACCTCTCAGGTTAGCCCTGGGCCTCAAATCCCTCCTCTCCTGCCCCTGGGGCCAGTTTTGGCTGACCTCATAGGTCTACCAATCTCCAGCTTGAGACATAGCTAAGGAGGGTTGTGGGTTTCTGGAAAAGGTCCAGGCTGTGTGGGAAGGCTGGCTCTGTCAGTTAGGTGTCTGACAGGTTACTTCACCTGCTATGGCCTTTCTCATCTGTAATAAGGCTAATAATAGCTACCTTCTGGTTAGGTGTGTGGATCCAAGACAATACAAACAAACAAACAGTAACTGCTCCTGAAACATTACTTTCCTCCTCCTCACCAGCCTCCCATAGAGTGGGAGTGCTCTGGAATGACCTGCTGCTCTTTCTGGCTGACAAAGATGATAATGGGCTCCCAGGAGATATTGTGTGTGTATGCAATTCAAAACACTGCACTGGATTAAAAAGTTCAAACACGAATAAAAACTCTACCGATCAAACTCTGAAGGAAATATAAAGAAAAAATGCTGTCTTCTCTGGCAGTCTCGCTGGAGATAACCAAGGTTCACAGCCTTGTGGGCCTTCTACGTAGTTTCTATCTTCATAGAAACACAAACACACGTACAGGTGTTTTCTTTTTTCTTTTAACAGGTTAGGATCCCACTAAAAGATGTTTCTCTGCAACTTCCCTTTTCATTTAACTATAAGTCATGGGCATTCACAAGTGGATATAACTTGTTCATTGTTAACAGCTGCACAGGATTGCATGGGACACAAGAACCATAATTTTCCATTTGATTTTTTTCCTCCAGTGCAGTGACGATCCTTGCACGAACATCCTCATGAAAGAAATTGTGCTTTCATTTCTTTGGGGTACTTTACCCGAAGCACGATTCTTGGACCAATAAGTAACCCCGAGAGGCTACTTTTCCCAGATTTTTGGGTCTCCGTCTGGGAATTTGTTTCGTTCACTTTCGCTTTGCCAGCCCCACGGAGGAGGGAGCCCGCGACGCCTCCCGCGGAGAAAACACTAGATGCCGGGCGCATCCCGAAGGGAGCAGATGCAGGAGGCACTCCAGGGCCTAAGGACTCACGGGGCGCGCTGCACAGCAGGGCACGGAGGACAGACGCTTGAGCTTTAGTGTGACCCCAGGCCAGTGCCTGCCCGTCCCAGTGTCACGCCAGGCCAGTGACTGCCCGTCCCGGCCTCGGTTTCCTTCTGCGGAGTCTGTGGCTCCAAGCAAGATAAGGCGCAGTTCGGGCCCAGCGCCAGCGTGACCTCTATCTGTGCCTTTACGTGTGTCCTGGCCGGGCTGGCTCCCCGGACGTAGGCTGCGCCTCCCTCCTTCCTCCCCCTCGTCTTCCCTCCGCGCCGCCCCACCTTCCAGACTGGGTGGCTCAGCAAGGCCACAAAGGGTAAAGCAGTCACCAGCGTGAATCCCTCCTCGAGATCGGTCATTTATTGCTTCTGCCCGGCTCTGGCCGGCTTCCTTCCTTTCGTCTCGGCTATCGAGTGCTCCCGTCTGAATCTGGCCGGGAGCCGAGGGCCGCGCCAGTTCGGCACATCCTTTGCTTCTGCCTGGCTCGGCTCTCCGGCTGGGGCTGCGGAGAGAGCGCCGCGATCCTCTGCTCGGCCAGCAGCCTACGCCCCCTTCGCCGCCGCGGGCGCTTCCGGTTCCGGTAGCCTCTGGCCGTGTGTATCCGAGGCGCCCGCCATGGCGGGGAGCCGGTTGCAGACGGTGGGGAGCGTTTTCTCGCGGTGTGTGCTCGGAGGCGGGGTGGGCTGAGGGCGCCTCCCCCGGGATGGGGGCTCTCGACCGGCCGCGCTTTTTCTGGGTGGGTGTGAGTAGGGCGAGGCATTCTCCAGAGTGCGGAGTGGAAGCGGGGTGAGGCCCTCTCGTGCTGTCCGCCGTCTCTGAATAGGTGTACTTGACATCACTCCCCGAATGTACCTTTCTCGTTCAAGATTGCACCTCTCCCCCTGCCGGGGTGGAGGTCTCTGGGAAGAGGAGGGGAGGAAGATGCTGATGGGCCCAGCTGGAGCCTCTGTTTTCCTTGACTGGACGGGGATGGGGGGAGGGGGCGTGGGACGCACCTGAGAAAATAGAAGGACTTAACCCCTGAGCGTTGTTAGGTTGATTTTGGAATATGGAAGTATCTTACCTGTAGGTGGGGAACACCCGTGCTGCGGCCTCCTTCCGGTTCTGTGTTTCGGACTCCGCAATCCCACTGATGCCCCAGGCCTAGACTAGACTGATCCTTGGGCTTAGACGGGCTGTTGTAACTGGCTGACCTTCGTTATTTTTCCTTCCTTAAGGACTCGGGACCTGATTCGGGCTGGGGTGTTGAAGGAGAAGCCCCTCTGGTTTGACATATATAACGCTTTTCCTCCACTGAGAGAGCCGGTCTTCCGAAGGCCCCGCCTGAGATACGGCAAAGCCAAAGCTGCCATCCAGGACATCTTGTACCCCGAGGATCGGATTAGAGCGTGAGTGCAAAGCCCCCGTGGTGGACAGGAGGCAGCGCGATTTCAGAAGGAAAGGTTTGGCTAGTAGTCGGGTGACTTCCAGGAATGGACTCAGGGCTTTCCCTGTGGAGAAGGTCTTGACTATCTAGCCTGGTGAGGGAACCAGTGCCCCTCCCACCTGTGAGAGAAACAAGTTCTGGGAAGTAGAGTCTGGAGCTCAGCAACGCACTGATCATTGCAATTATAGCTGCCTGTTTCTGTGCATGGATTAACACTATGCTAAACCCTCAAAAACATTCTCTCATTTAGGCCTTACTTTAACCCTACAGTATTTTGTCTCCATTTTATTCATAGGACTCTGGGGTTCAAGGAAGTGAGCTTGCTGAGAATTCAGTGGAAGAACTTTTTCCCTCAAATGTTGATGCCAGTTTTTAGTACCTAGAATTTGTAGGATTCCACTTCTCTTAAATATTAAGGTCAGGGATTGTACTTTAGTCAATTTAATATATACACCTTATTCTTATCTCTATTTCTGGTTATAAGAAAACAAAACTTATAAAGTCATTATATTCTCATTTGAGGTCCAGGCCCTTTTCTTTTGAGGAATCTCCTCTCTACCCCCCTCCCTGCCCCCGACTCTCCTTGAGGTAGTAAAACAAGTATGTTCTGCTCTACGTGGAAATTTTCAGAGTAGGACATGAGATCTTTGGGGGTATTAAATTGCCAGCACTTTTCTGCGCAGGCTCATTGCATACACTTGGAAGCATTTGGCAGTTTGCAAGGCCATACTGCAAATGCACATACCTTGAGCTAATGGTACTGTTATTATGAATCTATTCCAGACTTGCATAGTGTACTAAGAAATATTGATAAAGGTAATCATTGCAGCACTCTCTAGAGTAGCAAAGGATTGGAAACAGAAAAGTTCAGTGATTTGAAATGATCTTTAAGAACTATTAAGGAGGGGCGCCTGGGTGGCTCAGTCGGTTAAGCATCCGACTTCGGCTCAGGTCATGATCTCGTGGTCTGTGGGTTCGAGCCCCGTGTCGGGCTCTGGGCTGACAGCTTAGAGCCTGGAGCCTGTTTCAGATTCTGTGTCTCCCTCTTTCTCTGACCCTCCCCTGTTCATGCTCTCTCTCTCTCTCTGTCTCAAAAATAAATAAACGTTAAAAAAAAAAAAAAAAAAAAGAACTATTAAGGAGAAGAGGCAAAGGCTTAATTAAAGTTATTTGCTCTTAGCTTAGAATATGAATTGCCCCTTCTCATTCTGAGGTGGAATCCACCACTGACAACAGGAGTTGAAATCTGGGGTTCTGTCTTCCATAGAATTTGTCCCTTTGTCCTCAAGTGAATCACTTTAATTAAAATAACTTAGTGATCTTTGTCTTGCTCTCTCAGCTAGAAGAATTTTCTCCAAGACTCAGATTTGCCCTTGGATAGTTAAAAATATTGCATGGAGAAACTCCTTTTATTTCCTCTAGAAATACCTTTCCTGGTAAATACCTTTTTATTATGACTGGATATTTTAGTTGATGTCTTTGATAAAGATTATAACACCATAAACAAATTTAATATAGTTCAAGCCAGGGCAATAGAAATATTCTTCAATATTTGATTCTTTTTGGGCTGAACACAATGCCTAGTAAGACTCAAAATAAACTTGGTGAATGAAACAAAAACAAAAAAAAAGAAGAGGCAAGATGTACCAGAGTGTTTCCTGTCCTTTGGGTTAAATTACGTAGCTTGGAACAGGGTAGGATAGATGTGTATATGCTTATATGTTAGGAGAATATTCTTGGATGAATGCAGAAGAAACAGATTGGTATTGATTCCTGGGAGGGTACTGGGGGTGGGAGGAGGTGAGCAGGAATGTCACTTTCACTGGCTACCTTTTTGTAACATTTGTTATATTTACCATATGCATTACTTAAAAAAAAAAAAAAAAGCTTATGCTTAGCCTAGTAATTTTTATTTACTTTGCTCTTGGCCGTGATCTGTAGTTGGAAATTTATATTG